GTATATGAAACATGTGTGAGACATTGAATTAAAAATTGTATTACTTACTAGGAGTTGCATAACCAATCTGTGGGTTTGTCTGTTTTTCTGTTTAATTAAATGAAAGGAAAACTTGATGGGTGTGAAAATAATCATATTCCTACAACAAAATCTTCATTGAGGAATGTATAGTGTGAAGAATACAGGAGCTACCAAGACCTCAAAAATCCTTAAACTGCATTTTAAAAGACATCAGTAGTGACAAGAATCTATAGTTTGATGGCTCTAAGTCTCACAGCTGAAGATACAGTATACTTTCACACACACTTGTACTAGATGGCCTTTCAACGTCCGTTCCAACCCAAACTATTCTATGATTCTATGATTATACCAGTTCTAACTCCAGTTGTGCACAGGGCTTGACTGATGGGCACAGCAGCACCCATCACCAGGATAAATCTATTATGAAAGACGCCGAATTAGCTCTTCTGAGCTGTACAGAAGGTCATGTATCAGCTAGCCCTGTTGATGAATCTTCAGTGGGTTTTGGAATGGATTATGATATGACCCAAGTAGCAAAGGTTTTCTCACCAAAGGTGCAAAATGGTGCAAAAGGTCCTTCTTAATGTATATGTTTGGATTAGACAGCCTGTATCAGTCAGCTGGGCAAAACATGGTAAAACAGAGAACTGATGAATCAACTGTCTTCTAAAGCACATTTGGTTTGGTATTAACTCTGTTCATAAGAAGGCTGTGGTAGAATTTTCTTTATTGAAGGGTTCAATAGGATTGATATGAATATCAATACGGTGGGGTTTTTTTAATTGTAAGAGTAACTTTCATATTAATTATCTTTGCTACTTACAAGAGAGGCCCCTATATTCATGGAAAAGTGATTCTTTTCTGTGAATCTTTACGTGATAACATGACATAATGTGTCAAGTATTTGTATCTGCATGCAGCAGACAAATCTCAAGGCTGTCCTTCCAGATTTGAGTTTAAGAATAGTACATGTAAATACTGTGCAACTGAATGCCTCTGATTGCAAAAATGTAAGGAACTAAATCAGTTTTAAATACCCAAGTATTCTCTATTTCAAAAACTGGTTTCAGTTTTTAAGCAGCAAAGTATAAGCAATCTTTTAGCTTAAAAGCAGAATTGAAGAGAACAACAAACTGTTGTATGTTGCCATTGAGTGGACAACAGTCACCAGAAGTACTTGGAAGCTCATGTCATCCCATAACTCTGTGGAATCGTGTGCTTGAAAGAAATGTGTAAGAAATCCCACAGTAAGCAGACGTGAGGTTAATATTTTGTTGCAGTCTCCAAGACAGATTATTTTAAACCCTGAAGTGTTGTGCTTAATATTTCTTAAAAAACTCTTAGAAAACTCATCTAAGTATTTTATAAATGTTGCTCATATGATTTCCCATAATTCCTTTAAAAATTTCACTAAGTTCCTACTCCTATGTAATTGATGTAATTTATATGGAATTCATATGAATGCCATTTGTGTGTGATTTGTATAAATTTCCATGAAATCAGCAGCAGCAGTCATCACCTTCCTCATCCTCTCTGCTAGGATCCTGGAGCTGCCTGGATATATCAGTGTGGTGAGGGCCCCTTTGTGTTAGGAGAGCTTCTGGGTAGTCTCTGTCATGTGGGGCTCTGAATGAAAACCAGGCTCTTTTCCAAGGACCTCACAGATTGAAAACCACAGAATGACAGAATCATCTGGGTTGGAAAAGGCCTTCAGGATCATCAAATCCAACCATTCCCCCAGGACTTGCCAAGTCCACCACTATACCAGTGTATAGCAAGTCTGTAAGGCTGGCACAACACCACAATATTCTAGTGTAATTTATCAGTGTGGCCAAATCATAGATGTAGTATGCAAATTAGTATAAGCAATCAAAGAAATTGCATCTTGCACAGCTGCAGAATTGGGTCTTACATGGGAACTTCCCTCGAAGGTGCTGAGTGCCCTCAGCTCCCTCTAACCACTAATGCGGGCTGAACGTGTCCCATTTTGAATCAAGCCCTTTGATAGCGTCAAGAAAATCTCTGATTATAATAATTTGTTTTATAATGTGTCACTCTACACTTATGAAAAATGAGTATACTTGCTATAATTCAAGTATTCTACAGATACTTAGCTGTACTAAAAGGGTGCCAAGTATACTAAAAATATATTACTTTTCATAAGGGTATAATTTCCTAGTAATCAGAAGATATACTCTGATTCAAAAATTGTTATAATTGTTAATGTTGGTGAGAATTACTAAGGCATCACAGCAGAGGGATATTTGTGGTGTGAAGCTGCAAATAGGTAGTTGAGATCATTGGTGTTTATACCATAAATGATACACCTGCTGATGAGTCTCACTAAGGGAATACTGCACTGTGTATTTTTACACTTCAGGGCAGCTTTATTGTTGGGATGCCTAGTTCAAATAACCTTTCACTAAGGGAAGTGAGAGTTGCCCTTTCCAGAAATTCCAGTACTAATTACTATTAGTTTAAATGCTTGATTCAGTTTATTTTTGTTTAGTCCCCACAGTCTGTCTTGAGAGTCCTTAGTGTTATCATTACTTCTTTATAGTTCAGGTGTTTGTAACACAGCACAAAAGAAAGTACCAGAGAAGGCAAGTAGAAGGCTCAGGGGAGACCTCATAACAGTCTTCAATACCTAAAGGGCACCTACAAGAAATCTGGAGAGGGGCTTTTGGCAAGGGCCTGTAGGGGCAGGAGAAGGGGGAATGGCTTTAAACTGACAGAGGGGAGATTGGGATGAGATTTTGATGAGATGAGGTTGCCCAGAGAAGCTGTGGCTGCCCCATCCCTGGCAGTGTTCAAGGCCAGATTGGACGAGGCTTGGAGCAACCTGGTCTAGTGGAAGGTGTCCCTGCCCATGGCAGGGGGTTGGAACTGGATGAACTTTAAAGTCCCTTCAAACCCAAACCAGTCTGGGATTCTATGAATAAGACAAGGAACTGAAAGAAAGACAGGTTGGAAGACAGCAGAGGAGACAAGTTGGGGGTGAAGTATGCTGACATGAAGTGAGAAGAAAAAAGCAAGCAACCAAAGTTAAAAAAGCAACAGTTGCTGTTGGAAATAAAGAAAGGGTGATGAGCAAAATGCAAACAAAAATATATAAAAGGAAACAGATCAAAATTGTTGCTGATGAAGCATTTTGCCTAGAGCCAAAAAAGAAGTAATGAGGTGTAGGACAAATTATAAATACTTGGGCATCTTATCAGTTTACAATAGCCCTGAGGAACAAAGAAGAGGGGGAGTTGACTACATGGCATATATGAAGGAGACAGAAGCAAACCCTGGCCAAAAAGAAAAGCACATATCTTTAGTTGTATTATGATCATGCCAAGGTCAGAAATAGTATGAGAGCAGATTGGAGCTGTTGGGAGAACTCTCTGTGGCTGCTTCTCCTCCTGTACCTAGTTGATGCACATGGTGTGTTGCACAGCAGGATTTTTTATGGCTGATCCCATGGTGCTTTCAGGGTAAATTTGACTGGAAAGGGTAAACTTCCCACTGCTATAACTGAATATAGTTCTTGTGGTCCTGTTGGAGGGGAAAAGTCACAGAAGTTTTTATAGTAATATTATTTCCCTTCTGTTCAGCACCAAACCCACTCACTTTAAGATTCAGACTAGGCAATATTGCTTTTGCCTTTTTTTCCATAATACTAATAATGTTTCTGGTCTGACCTTCCAGATAAGTAATGTCGAATGTGTTAATGCAGCTACCATGAATAAATTCTTAGCAGCGCTTTGTCTATAGCTCCAGAGTTCCTTCTAGTGCCACCTGCAAACACCAAGAAATGCCAGCGTATTGGACAGCCTATTCTCCCAGCCCAGGAAACTACTTCTTATACCCAATACGGATATTCAGAATTTCTGTAGGATCTAGAGGTTTGTGTCTCTTTCTGAGAAATATGCTTCTCTGATGTCAGGATGTAAATTGCATTTGTGTTTTTAATACCACCAAATTAGCATTTGCTTCGTGTAATTTTTGATCCATACTCTCTTTTTCATATTTCTGTTTCAACTGTTGCCCTTCCTCTGATGTGTTCAATAGATAGGGTTATTTTTTACTCTTTCTCTGTCATTCTTTCCAGCCATTTTGTGACTGCTTTCTTTGCTGACTACTTTTTTTTTGATTTAGCTGTAAATTTGGGCAAAAATACCATAGCTACCAAGACAGTAGGAAAAACAGAGATTTCACAGGGACGTACTTAATGGCAGGATAAAAGGTCAAGATACTCCTTATTTTTAACAATAGACTCAAGTTCTTTCTTATTTGGTATTTGGTAAACTCCTGTTTTGCTGAATGCATTGTGAAACAAAATTTTATCATTCTGTAGCTAGGTAATTCCAAATTGAACAATCCACAATAATCCAGGTTTTAAAGATCCAGATTGAACTCAGAGTACTAATCAGTAGCTATTCCCTACTAAGATTCCTCTATTGTCATAGATGATATGTGCTCTTTTGGTGATGTGTATTCGTATTTTCTTCATATTATTTTACATTACAGTTTACACTGTATTCCCTATACATCCTCTCAGCAACAAACTTCTTTGGCTGCAGTGACCATTAGAAAGGTGTCTTCATCTACCGACTGTTTATTTCAAGTTATTTCAGCATACATAGAAGTATTTAACTTGACAAATGGCAAAAAGATGAGATAATAAAAATATCACACTTTTATTTTAAAGATATATAAGCTCTATCATGTTCAAGTATTGCTAAAGCAAATTGGAAGCTTGAAATTACTCCACAACTTGTCTACAAGATACTGTTAAGTTCTGCGTTTATCAGATAAGCTTATAGCAATGTCTTCCAAGTGGATGGATCATTAGTAACTGACAATTTTTTGTCAGTATTGCTAGGTAGGAAAAAAATAGTTCTGGTGCTGCAAACACTGAAATTACCATGGTTATGTTGGTTATAGACGAAAGATCTGGTCTGGTATACCTCAAAACTTTGATCCTATAATTTAGCTAATGCAGGACTCCAGTAGGGCTTTCCTCCTGGTTCTGAGCTGATATTGATTCTTAGTTATTCAATGACTTAATGTTAGAGGCAGGGAAACACACAGATTTTCCTGATGCGTGCAAGTTTCTGGATCTTAAAATTATGCAAATTGAGCACAGTTTGCCCAAAAAGCAAATTAGCATTGTGCACCTGTAGCAAGCATAATATGTGTTTTTCAACGGAAGTAAGAAAATTCAGCACATTTTTACCTCATTAGCACTCCAGGGGTAGCAGTGACTTAATTCTTCGCTGTTGCAAGCTCTGTAGCTGTTACCCATAGATGTTTTACAGTTGTCCATAAAACATGTTTGCCAAAAAAACAAACATAAATTTTCTGAAAAGTATTGAGAAGACAGGGTAATGATTCATTTCTTTATAGAGCGAATTACTCTGTACAGGGTATAAAACCTTGGCATCCTAATCCTGTGGGGCATAAAAAGAAATGCCACTCCCAGAACTGGGCTGCTTGGCTTTAACACTTGAGATTTGGAAGCAGATACTTGCTATTGGGGATGCAGAAATCATACAGCACCTGTTCAGACCATATGAAGCTGCATTTTGGAAAGGAAGATTGAGATGAAAAAAACCTAGGAAAATCATGATTCTCACGGAATTAAATGGACTTCACTGTGACGTGGTGCAGAATGAAGGAAGGGAATGTAAAATCCCATCTGTTTACGTAGTTCTCTTGGTTCATGGCAGATTTGTTGTTGGATGGAAAAAGTAAGCTTCAAGTCTCCACAAGTGATAATCACTTTGATATGAGGAACAAAACCCAGCAGGTTATCACTGCATTTTTTTCCAAATGCAATTTTTTATCTTGTGTATTTGAATTAAAGAAGATAAAAAAATTTGCAGTGATCTTGTTAAGTTCCTTGGTACACTTTGGAAAAGATTGTTTTGAAAGCTTTTGTGTAATTGCCCTTGAACTATCCTATTATGTGAGTAATAATCCCTCAAAACAGCTTAGTTTTTGTTTCCTGTTAACTGAGTCACTAAAAATGTTCACCTTTTATGAAGAATGCCTTTATTTTCCCTGAGCTGTCCTCCTCCTATTCTTTTCAAGGTTTAATTTTGTTTATTTATTATCTTCTATGGATTTTTAGGTATTTTAGGGTTTTAATGACTTATTTTATATGGTAACTTTTATCCAATATGCTTTGTTGAATATTCATCTCGGTCCACAGGTGTCCCTGTAGATGTGATAGGTACTTCCAAGTAACATCTGAACTTTTCATTCTTTTGAATATGTACAAATCTGTTGTTAAAACATTTTGAAATTCGAATGTAGCTATAATATAGGATTCAACCATATTGAGCAAATTGACAGAGTGCAGCATGGAGCTGGGTTAAGGGTTTGCTCCCTTATTGTTGAACTGTTAAGTAGAAGTTAGATGGCAAACCTGAGAACACTTAGGAACATATAGCTGAAGGTACCTTCTCAGTCCACTGTTCAGAAAAGCTAGCAATTTTGAGAGGATGGATAGAGGATTTAATGGAGGTCAATACTGGGAAATAAGATAATACCAATATTATAATACTGTATGACCTTATCTAAGAGATTTGCTGAAGTGTTTGTCAACCCATCACAAAAAGAGTATTGCCAGATTTCATTACAGGTTCAGGAACCGGAGAAAAGAATCAATGACTATCTTGGGATATCATAAGATCACTCATCAAAAACTTAAAACACCAAAGTTTCCTTTATGAAGGAGAGTCATATGAGTCATATGAACATATGTTCATATGTCATAGGAACACTTAAAAGCAAACACATGACCAAAAAACCACCCCCATCAACAAACCCTCAAACCTACAGAATAGTCTAAAAGGGAATAGTTTAGAAGTTATACTTCTCTTGCCATATATAATGAGAAAGATATTCTGTAAAACTGAAAAGAAACTGATTCAAATCCGTGTGTGAAAATCTTGTCACACAGTGTATAATTGAACTATGAAATGCATTTGTACATGTTGCTACTGAGGCCAAAGACTAAGCGAAATTCCAGAAAGATTTGAATATTCACATAATGATGAAGAAATCACAAAATGTTGACAATGGTCACTGCCAACACAATTTTGAGGACAGTTAAACTTCAGGATACAACAATACCCTCAGCAGTTTTATTGGGATGATTATCTGCCATAATTATAGCATGCAATTCTTCAGTCTTCCTTTGAAGCCTCTCAATCTGACCATCACGAGAGACAGCCTGCCAAATTAGAAGGACCTTGATTCTGTTCCAGTAGGGAACTCAGAAAGAGCTTTTGCACCCACAACTCAATGCGTGTATGTCTTCTAGTTCCTTCAGTGTTTTGTTTTTTTTTTCCTTCCAGTATAATTGTGGTGTTGCTGCATCATTTTGTAGATAGACGTACAGCTGCTCTGCTCATGCAAAAGTTAGCCAGCTGTGTGCCAGCTGTTAGCATAGCACTATGTCTGAGCTAATGAGCCTTGCTGGGGATTTTTTTCTTCCATAAATGTTCCAATGGCTCTTAATCAGCAGCAGATTCTCCACTGAGTGATGTATGACATAGTTTTCTCTGCTCTCTCATCCTTGTGTAGCTGTACTGTAGCCTGTATGTGGACATTTAGCGACCTGTTCAGTAAATGGGTATAGGCTACTTAAATTTATAAAGTGTCCACAAGCAGATGTGGATTTGAACATGATATAGTCCTTATTTTATTTATCAAAACAGGTGTCTGCGAACAGTGTAGCGTGTTCTTTATTTGCCTTTTTTCTTTAAGCCTGTGGGATTTTTATAACTCAAGCTGGTAACATGAATATTTGCACAAATAAAAGGTATTAAAGATATTGATTTGAGTGTTACTGTGAAGCAAGTAAAAGGGATTGTGAACATCAATAAAACTGAATTCAGGACCAATGTTTTAAAAATGTATATTCATAGTTGCAAATATTCCCTGCAGTATTTACCCTGTTCTGCTCATAAGAAACAACTGAGAGATTTGGGGAGAAGACTTTTCTGATACAGCATGTTTTTTACTTACGTAATTAGGAACAGACAGCTACTGTTCGCACTAACGGAGCTTAAAGATTATTAATACATCCATTCTCCCTTCTTTGCATTTGAAAGAATTTATCACTCATTAGTACGTTGTCAAAGACAGGATTATGTCTTGGTCCTGTGTGTACTCACAGGGAAACCCCTGCCAACTTCTTCAGTTGCTGCCAGGAAGCCAGTGAACAGAACATGTTTTCTGTTTCAGAAGCATGGAAAAATAATAAGCATTATCTTTAAAAGGAGAGTCATAAGAATGGGAACTGAAATCATGATCCTAGGCAAATAAAAGGCCTGTGCACACCTGTCAAGACTGTGGTCAGGGAGTCTCACCATCCGTTCCAAGAGACCCATGAATTTTTTCCATCCTCATACAGTTCAGGGAAGCCATGCTGAAAGCTGAGTAGTTAACATGAATATCTGTTATCAGAGAGATCTTTGGAGTTAAGGTGTTCAACTTTGACTAGTACAGGACATTCCATCAGCACAATGAAGATAAATAAATACTCCTTATGGCATAAATTACACAACATAGTGTGGGTCCCCTGGGAAAGTAAGTGAAACTGTGACAAGGAGTTCCTGTTGCATAAATGCTGGCATTTTGTCCTGTTTACTCTGTTTGATCAATGGCTCTGTTACATAGGAACCTTCATATTAGATGATGATTGTAGTGTGAGTACTAATGCTCATTTGCAGGAGGCCAAAATATTTTCCTTTTCCACATTTTATTGAACAAAACTTTAAAGTCAGGATTAGTGGTAGGACCTTAGGACAATTACTTAGTGTGATGCATAGGTTAATGGCAGTTATATGGCCACTTCTTGCACATCACTTTGAATTATTATCCTTTTTTTGTTTCTGGAAACATAATTAGTCTGTGATGGATGGGAGGCTAAATTCAGTACTTGGGGTCAAGCCACACCTTATAATGACATAGCTGCAGATACTTTCTGCATTTTGAAACATTCATTTGCATCCAGTCTATAACAAATCTTTCTAGCTTTTCAGGCCATTTAAACTTAGAAATCCATAGACTATACTTATAGCAGAAAACTCCTAATACTTTTCAATCTTCTCCTGCCCTTTTCACCCACCTACTGTGTAACTGATAGTTGTGGGGTAATCCAGGATAGAAATGTCCCTTCTGCTTTTATGAAATACTGCTTTCTATTTTTAGGACCTTGACATTGAACTGGTGGTAATCAATATCTCTCTTGAGCAGAGATAACAGGATAATGAAAATGAATGTTCTGTTGCATTTGCTTGAACACTATTTGACAATGTACTTCACTAATATTTGCATATGGAGTTGACTGAAAAAAAATCTAAGAAAATACACTGGAAATACGCTAATTTATTGAATTTGAAAAATTGTGGAAATCTGCTAAATTCTAGGTTTTTAGGAGGAAATGGCTCATTTGATTGTAAAGCCTCTCATTATCTGTGACCCAACTGAGAAGGAACTTTAAAACCCGATGTTTTTATTGTGAATGTGAAATTTTAATATAGATATCTTTTATGAAAACATTAAAACCATTAAATTTTGTTTGCAGAATGAAACAAGTACTGAACAGAGGATTTTCTCTGAAGTATGAATTGGCTTTCTTTGTATTCTTTTTCATACTCTCGATATTTTTCAGGGCATGTTTTCATCAGGATGTTCATGTAACACGAAGTTCTTCACCATTCAGACAGTTAAAAGGAAGAGTTATGCAATATTTAAGCCTTATTTAAGACTGTGAAACAGGGAGGAGGTGAAAAATACATATTGTATAGGCTGAGTGTGATGCCTAGGCATAAAGATTAATTTTACCTAAGAAAAGTGCTGGGCTGGGTATTTATTTTCAGAAGAAAAAATGCTCTGTCAGAGGTTTTAGCTCTGATTTATTTTCAACATAGAATTTGCCTGCTTAAATTGAGAATTTGGGCTCTCTGTACAGCTAATGAAGAAAGATAAAGTTAAGTTACTCAGGAGAGATTGAGAGCAACCCCTCTTGCACCTGTGCCATGCTGCAGCTTGGCCATCTCTGCGGAGCTGACCTGTCACATACCGTGAATTGCGTGTGCTGAAGACAGCACTTGAAACAATAGCAGTTGCAAAGCTTTCTGTAGACTGATCTATTTTTGTACTGAGCATTCATAAGAATGAATATGAATATGAACACCAGTTGAAATCTTATCTTTTTGCCAAATAGATCAGTTGAGGTGAACTGTTTTGTCCATCTCTACACAGAAATTAAAAATAATTAGAGAAGGACTGTCAAACTGTTTTTGACAAAAAGAAGCCCTTTCTTAAGACTACACCTTCATCTGGGCATGCATCATACACAGGTATTTTTAATATCTGATTTTTTTTCCACTTTAACTTATATAGCATATGAAAAAACTCCATTGGCTTTGATGAACTGATTTTTCTTTTGCTATAATTTGAACTGTGGACTCTTACCTTGCTGCTGTATCCATAGTAAGAGAAAACACTTTCAGTACATCTTCAGAAACTTTACATATGAACACTGCAGACCAGCAACCAATCAATCAACTTATAAAAAAAGCCCCAACTTTAATAATTTCAACCAAAGTGATTTCTTTATAGGGTAAGATTTTTTTCTTTATATATTCCTCGAGTGCAGTTGAGAAGCTCACAGATACTTGGAGATAAAAATGGAAGAACATGCAAATCTTTTTTTGTGACTATAATTTAAAAGCACATTTAATTGTATAGCTCCACTAAATAGAAAATACTTCATTTTTATTTGTGTTAGGGAGCCCTGGGGCTGGTAAGGGCTTATGGTGTCCTCAGGGCCCTAACGGTTTGTGTATATTATTTGTATTTTAAAACCCAGCATTCTCATTTTTGCCAAGGAGTTCCGAGGAAGTTGTGTGTTGGTTTCTATTCTTAGATGATTTTTTTCCTAAACAAAACAAACAAACCACCTAACAACAGTCAGTAGAACATCTGGGAAAAAAAGTGGAACCACTCAATAGGCAAGTATATGTTATGCCCAAATGAACACTCAAATGAGCATGCATATTTAAAAAAAACCCTCCTCATGAAGATGGAAATGACATTTACATGATGATTTTACTACTGCTGCTGCTTGACTTAACATATAAATCTTTAACTCTAAGTGAAATTTGGGGCCTCACAAATATACAGAAAACTCAAAGTCTTTATGTTTTTATGGCAACACCCCCCTCACATAAATTTATATAATTTTATTTGACCCTCATAGATGAATTTTGATAACTCAAGGTCACTGGATACTTATGGACAGTTTTGAAATATCGGGTAGCTTTGTTTCCTAGTTTTTTTATCACTTCAAGCTATCCACACTCAAGTTCATCAGTATTAAAATCCCCTGAACCGCACATAAATTCCTTTCTCCAATTTCAGCTTTTCTTTTTTTTTACTTCTTTTTGCATATTGCATAAGAATTTCTAATACATAAAACAGATAAATGGTTTATAATCCTAATAAATTCTGCTTGGGAAAGATTAAATTTCTGCACACTCACCACAGAATTTGCAAGGCAGCGCTACCATTACCAGGGCAGGCAGGCCATGGCTCCTCTCCAATAGTGAAGTTATTCAGGTGTCCTCTGCTTTTTCACCTTTGCTTGTTACATCCTATCACTGTACGTTCCACCAGAGACAAAGATTTCAGGGAAATCTGAATTCCTGTGCAGAAAAATGGGCCATAAATCTTTTAGGAACATGTACAATAATTGTCAAAGAAAAAATGATATCATCTACTAAATTTCTTCTGAAGAAGTTTAAGGAGAAATCTAAGCCAGTCTCAGGCTAGTAAGAACACTGGCCTGGATATCACCAGCACTGGGGATTACATTGCTCTTTGCAAAGAAAGCTGTGTCCAGAAGCCCACTAACTGATGGTGGCATAACAAGATTCGTGGTCTTGATGCAGAGCTTTACCAGCTGAATTTCAAGGAATCATTTTTTTGTAGTTATTGTTCAGTTCATGGAAATCAGAATGAAAACACAGATTGGTTGGGGGGAAGGGGAGGAGGGGGGAATCTATTTTCCGCAATTACCGGAGACAATGAGAAGTAAGAGTTTCCCAAGGGAGATCAAAGTCACCAACTGCATTTTTTATATTCATAATTCATTTCCTGGGTCTGTCTTTGCATGTGGGTAAATCAGCTTTGGTAGCTGATAACAGCAGGACACTTTTTCTGCATATTCATGCATACATTCATCAGTAGCTATATGGTGGGGGGGGGGGGGGGGGGGGTGCGAAGAGATCAGGTTGTGTTTATTCCTCATCTCTCAATGTTGCAAACAGTAGTCCTGACTCACTTCCTACTCCAGTCCCACTTTTGCTTAGATGGGGAATGGAGTTGGGGCACACAGAAGAATAAGAAATGTATTATTATATGTTGCTACCCAAGAAGTGTAATATTTCTGAGAGTAACAGTACTTGAAACAAGAGTACAAGGTATCAGAAAACATCCATAGTCTCCATTGTCTCCATTTCTACAGTTATGAATTTTGCTTGGAACTATATTTGAGCTTGGAGAAGGGATAAAAAAAGGATGGAAAATGTAGCAATCAGAAAAAAGCAAATTATTGTAAAGGAACTCTGTGGTTTTATTTTTCGCTTGTCTTATTGACTCATTTTAGAGGCAGGCACCTGAAAAAATCAGACAAGTAACTTAAAATATGATGAGTACCTGGGGGGTAGGATGGAAACCAAGAATCTATCTAGTCTTCTTCATCAGCAAGAATGCCTTTGAAAACTATGTTGCTAGTTGTGAGCAAATTCCTAATTATAAAAATCTCTTGATCTTTCTCCCTCAGTAAAACATACTCTCTTAATAGCAACTGTTTCAAAGTTTCATTACCAAAGAGTATTTCTGAATAGGTTGATAATGCTTTCTGCAATAAATGTTTTCAGTTACAATATGCTCAGAGTTTCTGTAAGCGTCTTGACTCAAAAAAAAAAGGAATATATGCCTGCATTGTAATAGAATCTTTCTTACTGTTTATTGATTACTTATAATTTCTTACTGGATGAAAAGGTAGGTCTCTTCAGAGCTACGAGGAGTGCTGACTCCAGCCAGGCTTCCTGAATTGTCAAAGCATACACTGGTGAAGAAAGGTTGTTATTTCCATTTAAATGTGTAGCTTGATCTAGAACCTGGCAGACTACAGGGTGTAAGCAGTAGTCATGTATCCCTAAACAAGTATTGCACCAGTTCTTTTGTAACTTTATGATTCTTTTCATAGCCAATTTGTCATTAAAAACTAAGCTGTTTGCATATTGTACTGTTTCTTGCAATTGTTCAGTAATTATTTTCCCAATGGGAATACATATATATTGTTTTAAGCTCTTTTGTGGCCAAGAACATATTTGATCTGTTTGTAACGTTCCCTGTAAATTTACATTGCTATATAAATATTTATCAGAAATAGCAAGAGCAGGCTTGGTTTAGGCCCACACAAATGCAGGAAGACCAGCTGCACTCTTCAGAAAGAGCTGGTAGCACATGAACTCTCTTTCAATCAAGACTGATGAATTTATTAGCATATGCGAGATTGTGTGGGAGCTTATCTGGTACAAAATAACATAGCAGAGGAAGGAGAGTTGATTAGCAGGGTGTCTTGGCTTAGTAAGTGATCTTAGTCCAGGTATAGCATTACTTAAAGATTTATCAAGGTGGATAACCAGCTCAGATGCTGGTCACCTGTATCGCTCTCAAAATAGTTCCTTCAAAACTTTGAAACACTCATCTCTAATGGTTTAAAGAAACTTGACAGTAAGCAAGCAAATAAGTTGCTAAGACAGTCATATACGAGTCTCGTATAATAATACCATCTTCCTATGCTCCTCTATCTATTATGATATAAGTAAGACATGTTAGATCAGTGCTTTCGGATAGGGTGTCTGTGTTTATACAGAATTTGCCTTGGTGAACTCCATCTGTGACCAATTCATTTTATGGTACAAATAAAGTTTTACAATGAAATAAAAAAAATTACCCCTTTTAGTAATGATGCATATGGAAAGTAAATGTCAAAAGATACACCAGAGTTCAAGGCCACTAATTTGTATTCATTTCTTATATCTGCTTTTAGACTTTAAAATTAGTCATTGCAGTATTTTACAAGTGCCTTTACAAATAAGCTATTGCTTTCAGGCCCCCATTTACCATGATGCCTATCTGCCATTTTAGATACCAAATAGGCAGTGTGCTGCATCTTCATGACAAGACGCCACAGGCAATGAATTACATCTTTTAAACAAAGAACGTGAATTTGTCTGGTATCTTGGAGAGAAGTATCCAAAACAATACTGCTGCTAATATTGTCGTAGTCTTAAAGAAACCCTCAATTTTTTTCATGACATGAAAATAAATGTTTTGGAAGATTATATATTCTCCAAATACAATGGAAAGGCCTTAATACTAATATTTTTCTGAGAAAGAGAAGTATCTTTAAATGTTTGTGCAAAACATGCGTGCTATTTTTACACAGTGACAATAATGTGGGAAAAAGAAAAACATACTTACGAGGACCTCCCTGTCCTCTATCTGCCTTAGCATAGCTCCTAGGAGGATCTGTTCCATCATTCCCAGCAAAGAGGAGAGGCTGACAGGTTGGTAGTCCCCAGCGTTCTCCTTTTTACCCTTTTTAAAAATGGGTGCAATGTTTCCCCTTTTCTGTTGCCAGGGCCTTCACCTGACTGCCAGGGCTTCTCAAATATCATGCAGAGTGGGTTGGCAACTATATCAGCCTATTCCCCAGGACTCCGGGATGGATCTCATCAGGTCCACGTCCAGAGCCTCATACTTGTACAGAGGCACCTGGGAGGGCAAGATAGGGAAGTGGAGCGTGGACTTGCACCCGTTCGTTCCTTTTCCTTAAGCTACTGCCTTCAGTCTGGCAAGGGGGGGATTCAGGACCCTGCAGATCTTGGTTTTCCTTCTGCTGGCTGTTCCTGCTCTTGTTTCAGAGAGGTCAGAGCCTGGTTCCACCACAGAATCATAGAATAGTTTGGGTTGGAAGGAACCTTCAAAGGTCATCTGGTCCAACCACCAATATCCCTCTCAGTCTCCCTGATGCTTCTTAACCCTCCTACTTCCTCTTTTAGCTTTGCCACCCTGCTGAGCGGATCATCCACCTGGTCATATCTGTCAGAGCTGCTGTCCCTGTTGCCATCTGATACCACTGAAAGGCTCTGGCACTCCCTGCAGCCTGAGACCTGGATGGCTGCATATTTTCTTGAGAGCTCTGTCTGAGTTACTACATCCTTCCTGGAGAGTGCAGAGGACATAAGTTTGCACCGGGTGCACACCATGTCCAAGCGCCTTCTGGGAGGGTGATAACCACCAATAGAACCAACCTCTGCTCTGGTGAGAACCCCCTGCAGTCCTATATCCAGCTATGGAGCCCCCAACACAAGCGGGACATGGAGCTGTTGGAGAGAGTCCAGAGGAGGCCATGGAAATGCTCTGAGGGCTGGAGCACCTCTGGTCTAGAGACAGGCTGAGAGAGCTGGGCTGGTTCAGCCTGGAGAAGACTCTGGGGAGTCCATAGGGGAGCTTCCAATGCCTAAAGGGGTAGACAAGAAATTTTGAGCGGGGCTTTTTGACAAGGGCCTGTAGGAACAGGACAAGGGGGAATGGCTTTAACCTGACAGAGGGGAGACTGAGATGAGACATTAGGAAGAAATTCTTCCCTGTGAGGGTGCTGAGGCCCTGGCACAGGTTGCCCAGAGAAGCTGTGGCTGCCCCATCCCTGGCAGTGTTCAAGGCCAGGTTGGACGGGGCTTGGAGCAACCTGCTCTAGTGGAAGCCGTCCCTGCCTGTGGCAGGGGGTTGGAACTGGACGAGCTTTGAGGTCGCTTCCAAACCTAAACCGGTCTGGGATCCTGTGGTAAAGCGCCTCCTTCACATGCCTTCCCGCGCAAACTGCCTCGCCACGCCCTCGCTGGCGTGCTCGCGCTCCCTAGGCCGCTTCTGATAGGCTGTGGGGGTGGGTTCCGTTAGTCTGGCAACGCCCAGAACGCGTCAGTGACGCTAGGGGATCTGCCGACCGTTGGTGGCTCTCTGCTGCTTGAGGTAAAGCTGTCGTGCTCCCGGCTGTGCCGTAGGTCGGGTCGGCTCCGGAGCAGCTTTCCTCTGGAAATCACGTACCTTCAAGTCTACAAAAGAAGCAGGAGACTTCAAAGGTAAAACTAAAATTTGGGGATGCCAGTCCTCCTAAAGGTAAACGTGCATACTTGAACCAAAGGGATCTCCATGGACGTTGTGGTATTGGAGAGGGTACGCCCGGTTCAGATGTGTTTCACGATGAGCTGGGTTATACCAATGACTTGTATTGACTAGATTACCGCTGATTTTAAAAGCAACTTGGGCAACTAACATGGTTAGGAAAATGCTGTTGTAATCTTTGTAGAAACAGATAATCCCATCCTGAAATGAAAAATTAATTTTTGAAGGCACTGTGTTTGTGTCAGTTTCCTTCCAACTGAAGATTTCCAGCCCTGCTCTAGGAGTTAATAGGGAGCCAAGTCCTGCTACACGTATCATCATGGAAGTGTTTACTAGGAATGTTAATAAAACAAATTTTCTCTGATTTCTGTGAAAATCACTGTAGTACTTCCCTATGACAGATTAAGGTAATGGAATCTGTCATTGGGTCAAGAAACAGTACAATAAGGAAAACCAGTCATGTTAAGGAAAAGCAGTCATGTTACTTTCATGGGTTGTAGTGCAACATGGATGGATGTTTTCCACCTACAACCATTGATAATGCCTAAGATAATAGCACAGATAATACCTGAGATAATAGCATAGGTAATACTGGAGCACTATTAAAGTATATGGATTTAATTCTTCAGTACATACATGTAAGCTGTTTTGCAGAAAGGGTGCAGAGGCAAATCAAATGAGTTGGTGTGGAGCAGGAGTGTTTGAGGCCAAAACTTCAGGATTCTGCCCTACTCCCCACCCCCAGCCACCACGGTATATGGAATTTAGAGTAAAGTCATCAGTAAGAGAGCTGTAAGACATTCTAGTGCGTTATAGGAATCCCATTGCTAAGTAGTTGGAGGAGAGTCTTCCTGTGCTCCCCATCATCCAGGAACCAGAGAGGGATATCATAAGCAAAAGTGTGTTGTGAGGATAGGGAAGAAACAGATGAGAAAATTGCAATCCCCCTTTAAAAAAGATGAAGATTCTTGTGTTTTGGGGGCAAAATTTTCATTGCTTCTTTTTTGGTTATATCAGAATGTAAAGGTTTTGGCATAAGAGCTAAGGTGCCACTAGGCAGATTTTCAAAAGTGTTAAGACACTTAAAGATTCAGGTACCTCAGTTTTTACTTAACAGTTAGTGGAAACATCACTGGCTGCTGGTGTGTGTTCTTAAGTTTTTAAATACCTTTAAAAACATACTCAGAAGTTTTGCCATCTGAGCATTCCTCAGTCACCAGAGAAATGCTGAATCCTGGGGAAATTAAAGAGAATGTGACTGTGAAATTGAGGCCTGAACACATGCAGTTACTGAAAAACCAGAACTGCACAGCTTTGCTTTAAAATTTTGGATGTAGTTCAGAAAAGCACTCTAACACTTGCTTAAAGCCTATTAACTTAAGTAAAAAGGTAATGCATTCTTAAGTGCGATCCTTAATAGGAAAGATCCTTTCCTGGGGTGTTTCAGTTGGAGAAGAACCCTGGACTTTCTCATGGGATTGATTTCAATTATTCACTTAAATCTGCATGCAGAATGGTAACAAGATGTGTTTGCTGTGAGTTTTCAAACACTGTTGTCATAAATAATTTTTGTTAAAACAAACAGGTTTTGCTTTTAATTTATGTTATTTTTAACTTGATGATTACTCTTCCCAGCAATCCTTCCTGATAAAAAAAGCCTGATTAGTTCAAATTCTGTTATAAGAAATACATTGTTCTAGTATATATGGAAAATCTGAATTTCTGAGAGGTAGTATCTGTTAAGACTAAAAAGTATGTTATTTGGCACTGTCATGATGGTAATGCTTATATATATTTATAGTATATATATTACCCTCTATGATTTTCTCTTACTTTCCTGTATCTATATCTATATATTTTAACATAATTAATAGTGGATTCAAGTAATGAATTTTATTCATCTGAATACTTGAGAGGTACAAGCCAGAGACAGTTTAAAGCTAACTGGAACCCACATGAGTCAAGCTCTTGGCTCTCCTGTAGATTCAGTGGAATGTTAAGATGTTTGCAAACAGAAGGGGTTACGCATTTGCATATTTGGAAAGGTTGTGGTGGCATGGACACAAATTAATAGCCTCCCAGTATTGACTGAGGATGCTCACTTGGTTTGTAGTTTCTATTTCCTTTAGCAATTACTTTCTTTTGCTCATATTGCTTTTGCCATTGTGAGCTCAGTCTCTGTTCTTTTAGAACTGAAGCATTTACTTCTGCCTTTGTTGAGGTTTTGAACTAACATTGGATTTTGTATATTGGGCAGTGGAAACCCCAGCAAGGGACCTTGGATTTACAGCTTTCAATGACACAAATTCTAGCATCTTTTTGTTTTTGTTTTTTTTCCCCCTTTTTTTAAAACGAGACAACATGCACAAAATACGTAAAAAATAACAGTCTTGGTTAAAAAATTCCTCTATAGCTTCTGCCATGCTGTTGCAAGAAATTGATTCTGCCAGTGTAAATCCATGACCTTTGCAAGCACTTCTACTTGCTGCCTGTGTCATTACTCGATTTCCAATGGAAAGTGAGGGCACAACAAGTACTACTTGCAGCCATTTCCAGTCACTGCTTATGATAGTTCTAACCTCAGTGTCAGAGAGTCGTGTGTTTTGCAGTTCAATTCAGCGACTATCTGGCCCCAGCTCTAGAAAGGAGGGAACGAGGGGAAAGGCAGACAGGGAGTACAATTACAGGCAGCTTAATTCACTGCCTGTGAAACAGCCAGCTATTTACCTTTCAGGTGCACTAACTACAGTCAAGAGACACTTGCTATATCCACTTGTCACTGTATGGTGTGCTGGGTTTGTGTTACGATATTCCTAGAAGATGTATTAATTGAATTCAGTGTGTTAACTGGTGGACATGTGCCTTCTGATGCACCTTCATGTGCTTGAGAGTGGATTAAGATCATTTGTGTCAGCAAGGCCGGGGTTTGTGAAACAGTTTGGATGCTGGGATGGTAAAATTCAAAGTTAGACATTTCAGTGGGCCATCTATATGTGTAGGGGTGTTAATAAATGTGACACCTGTGTGGAAGATGCATAGGGCAGCTGGCACAGCCAAATGTCAATTGACAGAGATGTAAGTTTGGGTTGTAGATGGATGAATCCCAAACCTTGCAAAAAAGGGCAGGTGGCCTAATGGTCACTTAATAGTTTGTGTCTTTGCTGAATTTCCATTACTGTCCAGCCTTAGAGTGTTTAGTCGCCTTCAGCTATGGGTATATGTTTGAGATTTTGAACTAGTTGCATGATTTTTGTGATGTAATGGAAATCATGATGTGCTTTCTAACATTTCAGCATCCAAATCATCCTTTGGGCTGGTGACAACATAAAAAAAATCATTAAACTTCCCCTCCCCCAAAAAGACTTGTACCATAGCTTGATTAAAGAGTAGCACCTTATCCAGAGTGGATATATATTCCCCAAACACTACATCTGTTGCTTGAGGAATTTACTATTTGCTTTTGACAAGTAAAAGATAATC